GGGGGGGGGCAGGTTTTTTTCATGTGACAATGCGACAACTACACGAAACTGATCTCGTGGAGGTATCGGGGCAAGACTCGTTTCACGTATTACGAGCAGTCGACAGGAAAAAACGTATATGCCATTGTTAAAGAAGGAGGAGAGAGTGAGAGGATGTGGAAACGGGGACCGGTCTCCGGGTGATGCTCGGGTCTCTCCGAATGCGAATTGAAGGATGAGAATTGTAAAGCGAGAAAAAATGAAGAGCGCGCGATTACGGGGGGAGGGACGTACGTGGGACCGTTAAATATGCTTGGGCACAATTTTTTCGAGGAGTTGAAACGACATTGAGGGACTATTCCGAATATTAATGCGTAGAAAGCGGAAATGTGTTTTTTTTCGTCACTTGGGCGGAAAGTGGGATTTTGCGCACGCGGAGTGTGAAGTGAATTTCTTCCGCATGAAATTTCCATTTTTCATTAATTTATTCTTTAGTAATTGGCCTCTGCGGTCATTAGCCGATTCGAATTGGCGAAATTATTAATGTCAAAATGATTTAAAAAAATTATTAATGGAAACATCGGAATTCAAGTTATTTATTCCTCAGTTTTAGACGAAATGTAAGAATATCAATTTGAGGAAATGTGAAAAATCACCGGAGGCAGGATTCGAACCCACGACCCTTGGGTTTCCAGTCTGAGGCTTTTGAAGGCTGAGAATTATGAGAGAAAAAAATGTACAGCACACCATTACCGTCACATATTTTTGGGGACAATTTTTTCAAGGAGTTGAAACTAAATTGAGGGACTATTTCAAATATCAACGCGTGAAAATCAAAATATTTTTTTCAATTCAGAATCTTTCGTGAGTTTTGCGCACTTGAATTTTTCTCAATTCCGCATAAGATTTATAAAGTTATTATTTACTGAGGCTTTTGAAGGCTGAAAATTATGAGGCGAGAAAAAAATGTTAAGCACACGATTACCGTTAAATATTTTTGGGGGCATTTTTTTCAAGGCGTTGAAACTAAATTGAAGGACTATTTCAAATATCAACGCGTGAAAATTAAAAATATTTTTTCCAATTGAAAATCTTTCGTGAGTTTTGTGAACTTGGATTTTTTTCAGTTCCGCATGAAATTTCTAAAGTTATTTACTTCTTGTTTTTGGGCGAAATGTAAGAAACGTTTAAAATCCCCGGAGGTAGGATTTGAACCCACGACCCTTAGGCTCCCAGTCTGAGCCTTCACACACATGACCATCCACTGAGTATGGAACCACCAGAATTATTCAATATTATTAACTCGTAAATTGAAGTACTATCCCAAATGTGAATGCGTAAATATAAAAAATATTTGTTAAATTCATAAATTTTTCTCAAATGTTTTTAATTTTTCTTTTTCACCTCCACATGAAATTTGCCATTCATTTACTTTATATCTCCCTTTCGAACGAACCTTAAGCGAAATATCAATTTGAGGAAATTATTTAATCCCATTAACTAATTATCATAATTAAATTCTCAACTAGTTAAAATCCGTACTTGTGGTTCCACTTACCTAACACTTCCCTATTTATTTGAGTCCGTCAAACCATAAAAATGATCTCCGCACGCTATATTTAGCCTCCACCACGTCCACATTTTTTAATAGAGCCAAGAGAGACTAAACACAAGGCGACTCGCGTGCCTTTTAATGATCATTCCCTGTTTATTTATGGGGAGATAAGCCCCAGGGGAAGTGCAATTGTGGATGTATCATCTTCCGATTGTTCAGCAATTCCTCCAGCTCTCCATTTTTAATCGGGCGGACAGACAAACACCGCAGTGCGACTCGGTAATCATAATTAATCAATATTTACTTAAAACGAATGGGACGTGATGCGTATACGTGACTCAATGTTGGGGTCATAAATAAATGAGAATTGACGACGTATTGATTTTAGATAGAACGATTGCGAGGAAATTCCCAGTAATAAAAACTAACTAATTAATTGATCAGTCAATTGAACAAATCAATTAATTAAGTGCGTCGTAATGGCTCCGGAGTGATCGATAAATCCCGAAAAATCAGAAAGGGAATTGTCCGAGGGGATGGTAGGAGGCGTGCCTGTGTATTCCGAAGGGCTTTTGGGCGCGTGCCCTGGGTATATCCAGGTCCAGGCCAGATGTATGTTTTGCAACCTGATAATGGCCCTCTTGTACCGGCTCAACTCCCTCTCTCTCTCTCTCTCTCTCGCGCGCGCGCGCTCCCTTTCGCGGCTCTTTTAGATCTTGTCGCTTTGGCGATTGTAAGCCGAGCTTTTTCGCAGCCCCACTCGTCGTACATGCTATTATGTAAAGGCCCATATGGCCACTTAGTGAAAGTGAAAGGTAAAAAAGGGCTACAAGTTTGTCGCAGGGATTTTTGTTATTGTGTACTCGCTCTTTGATTTTTGAGGCTCGCGATTTAATCGGGGACATGGGGCTTTATTTGGGGATAACATTAAGTAAAGAGGATTTTTCACTGCACGAGGTTTTTTTCATTGGAAAAAATAATTAAAGGGACAAATGCATAATATTTCATAAATTATTGCCTCTTATTTTGTTGAAATACATTGGAATATTTTGACATTTTTTTTTTAATGACAATCTTTACTGCATTATTTGCATCATTTCTGCACATTTCAATAATTTTTTTTTTCATTAGAAAAAGAATGAAAATGAAAAATGCATATTTAAGAAATTAAAATTATTCTGTTGGAATGAAACATTTAAATATCTAAAAAAATCTTTTTTTCATTAAAAAAAATGAAAATTGAATTCATAAAGTATTCAATGTCGACATTTGAATGGAATAAAACGTTAAAATATTTTAACATTCAATTTTTTATTTAAAAAATGTACAAGGGGTAGACACAAGCATCTAGATTTCATCAGCTCTCATCCTCGTGTCATCAGGGGTGGGTTTTGGTTCATCCAGAAGATCCGTATCTCGCATGTGTAACACGTATGTACGTATTTTAAGATCGTGGGATTGGATTGATGAGAGCACGGCTCATTGTTGGCGAACTACCGGTTTTTTAACGTCGAATTTTCATTTTTTAACCTCGAGTTGAGGATTAGAGGAATTCGCTCCCGTGGAAGCTGCAATAAAACACCCTTTGAAGATCTATTCATCAAACTCCGATATCTGTTGATCAATTCCCTTCTGTTTTCTATTTATAGTTTCAACCATTTGATTTATTCTGCTAAAAAAAAAATACGTCGTCATCTTTCGAGTTCTTAATTATAATAATTTAAATGAAGCGCTTAAATATTTACTCCGCAGACAATTACTTTCTTTTTTAAAAATATATTTTGCTGTTTCCGCTTCTTCTTCTGACTGCACCGAAAAAATCAGAATTTAATAAACATAATCGCCATTTCGTCTTCTCCGAAATCCCCGAAAACCTGAATCAAATAAAAATCATTCTGAGAATGAAAAACCGTGTATTCACAGGTCATTCGACGGACAATAAAACTCGTCCTCCAGCGATGACCGGCACGCGAGGTAAACTTTTTTTCCCCACCCCAGATCCCGGTTTTTCATAATAGTTCCACCAACGATTGAACACAGAGACCGATTTCTCCCCGTTTCTGCCCCTCGCCCCCTCAAAACCATCACATTAACCCGAACATCGCAAGCTATTAGGCCATATCAGCACAGCGCAACAAAAAATAAATAAAACGGTCCCCAAACTTTTGGCTGAGTTTGTACTCGATATTATTGCCTGCTAGTGAGTGAGCCTGTGGTCTGTAATCATTTTACCGCCGTGTTGAAGCCACCTACCGCAACGCTTTTTTTCGGGGG